GAAGGTCTGAGTTGGCTGGAGCCCGCCAGGTTTTGACCGCTGGGCCCGCGAACGCGGAACAAGTCTCTATGGACGCCTGCTGGACTGCGCTTCCAATGCCTGCCATTTGCTTGCAGCTCGAAAACATGCCACCCGAGTATGGCCATAAACACGACCCTTTAGGTTCTTGTCAAGCTTGGTGCGTGTGAAGATCTTTGTCCACCGTCCAGTGACAGACCGAGGTGGCTGGCGATTTGTGAAACTGCAAAACTGTGTCGCAGCAGATGTTGGAAGCAGCTTGCAAATCATGTCCTGCTTTGACGACTACAGCCCCTTCTTTTGTCCGCTTTGCAGTTCTTTGTTTGCCACAGGACAGCTGACCATCATTGAGCCAGTTGGCCGCGATGCAGGCCAATGCAGCATGCTTCTAGGAGGTCACTGACTGCAAGATGTTCAGACAGATTTGCCCTTGAGCCACACATTCTGTACACACAGTTGGATATGTGAAGCAGATAATTTGCTCATAGCTTCCAGACTTGCAGTTGATTCGTGGCAAATTCTTCGCGAGAGCGTGCAACCATTTTGTTGGTCAGTGACCTTGCGGATTGTCATTCTCTGTGCTCCTGCAGCGTGCTTGGCTCATGTGGTAGCTGTGCTAACAGTTCACGGGCAGAGCGGTCCTTAGACCATGTCTGCTTTTGCCTTGCTGGACATGTGCAGTTGCAAACATTCCCATATTCCAATCCGAATCTGAAGGTAATCGAAGCCTTTGTGCCACACAGCCTGGGACCTCAGGTCCATGCCAGCAGACTCACCTTGAGCCATGCCTGCAGCCGCCCGGTGGATGTAAACTTCTTTTCGATGTTCAGTCTTGTGTCCAGGACTTGATTTGTTGCAGCGGCGCGCTGAGGAAATTGCAAAAGATGGGACTATGAAGGAAGCACTCGTGAGTGCGGGAACAGCAGCCCTCACCCCGAGGCAAGTCGGACTGATGGCTCCTCAGTGTGTTGCTTCAGTATCAGAGCAGACCGTGCCATGTCCCTTGGAAGGGGTATCTAAAAGGTGTGTAAAAGCTCAGGACGCTTTCGTCTCCTGGCCCATCCCCTGGACCATCCCCAAGGGCAACTCAGCAGAGCTGGACACAGTTAAATTGTGGGTCTATGGTGGCATACACGCCTGTCCATATTTAAATTTTGCTCCTGGACATGCAGCCATCATTACAAAAACACACACACACACGCCAAGCTGCGTGAGATGAGGTTGGCCAGTCTCCCAACGAATCACGTGCTGCCTCCTTCCGCCGGTCAGCCGCGTTGGGATTCTTAGCCACGCGGCGCACATGTCCTGGTTGCTTCAGAACAGCCTTTGCAGGTCTAGCTCAGACTGATTTTGTACCCCCGAAATTGACGGCAAACTTTGAGACACCAAAGTGCCCAGGAAGAGAAACTTCACATCCAGATGGACTCTTGGCCATTGCTTTGCCAGCCTTTTGTTTGCAGCCATGTGGCACTTGACCCGAGGAATCTGATCGACCGTGCACAAGAGAGCTGCTGTACAGAGGTGTGAGCGCTGATGGACAGGGTCGCTGCTTGGTTGCAGAATGTTGCACATGTGACAACACGTTTTGCTTTCCGGCGTGGCTACGATACATCTTAGGAAAGGAGTACCTGAAGCGACGTACACGATACGATATTCATGAGCGCTACGAACAACCCCAGACAGAGGCGCAGGTCATGAGTTTGAGCGCCTTGGATCGCACAAACGAGGCGGAAGTTCAACAAACGAAGTGCCGAAAATGCCACGCTTCCAGGCCTGAGAATGAACTCCTCCGCTCTTCGTCCACCATCCTTTGGCAAAAAACCAATCATTGCCAATACGCAGCTTGGATGCATAGCTTTTGTGTTATACACGCACTCACTTTGGTCAAGCCGTCCAACCGCGGCAGAAAGCACTTTGCTAGGTTCTATAGAACACGGGGTGCTGGAGGCTTCAAAGAAGCCACAGCTGATATTTTTTGAGCTTTGAGCGCCTTAGCTGTAAGCGCTTTCCAGCGCGCACACCGGCGCGGGCTCCTTTGTTGAAGTCCCGACTTACCTGGAGGCTTCAGTGGCGATTTGAGTAGCAATAGATTATGTGCTAGGTGCAGACAGCATAATTGCAAAGCTATACTTGCTGAGCTGCATTGCAAGGAGGAATCTGTAGCTGTTTGGCATGCGTGCCAGCCAAAGGCGGTGCAGCCAAACATACATTTTGCCTGAGCAAGGTGGACTGAAGGACAGAAAGGCCGCTGTGCACACCATAGTAAGAGTTTGCTTTCCTGAAGCCTGCACGATGCCAGGCTGCTGGAGAACGAATTCAAGCACACCCAGGCTGCTGAATGAATTCAGAGAATAAAATTCAAGGCACCAGAGGATCTGAGGTCGCATTGACTGAAGAAGCCAACGGAAACAATTCATAGAAGACTATACTCCCCTCCCCAAGGCTCCTCCCCCCAAAACGGCTAAGAAATGAGTGTCGGGCAAGAATTCTTTTGGCAGCGCTGACTCTGTCTATTTGCGCTGTATACACACAGCGACAACAATTTTTCGTGCGTATCTTGAGATTTGTCGAAACTGTAGTTTGGGCCACAGGAATGTATATACGCAAAACCGTTATTTGGTCCATATTCGATACTTATATTTATTCGATATTTATTTTTGTGAATATTTACATTTATTTAATATTTAAATTATATATATATATATGTATTATGTTTAATATGTTTAATATGTTTATTTATTTATTTATTTGATATTTTTTTGATATATATTTATAATTTATAATAAAAATCTATATATAATATTAAATTATTATATATATATTTGTAATATAATGTTTGGTTATATATTTATATATTAAATATTTATTTGATATATTTTTTTTTTTTTAAATTGGCTTATTGTATTTATTATTTGTTTATTATTTGATATTTATTTGATATTATTTATAGTTTATTGAATATTAAATTAATATGTTTTTTTATTTTGTTTTTATTTTGATATATATTTGATATATGGTTTAATATTTTTATTTTGAAATATGGGAATTTTATATAATATAGATATTTAATATGGTTTTATTTTTTTATGGGAATTAATTTCTCGAAATATTTTAGATGTTTTAAAAGGTTTGGAATGATTATTGGGATATTTTGGAAAATGGCTTAATGTATTTGTTTGTTTGTTTTTTAATTTTGATTGAGAACTTGATGATACGATTTTTTTATTTTTATTTTTATATATGTGGATATATTTTTTGAGGTTAATAATTCGTGGATTCATTCTCACTTTGCTTAGGCGATTATTTTTGATTACGGTTTTTAATGCGTCTCGCGATCTATATTTGGAGAACGATAGCATGCTTTTTATACATTGTTTGATATATATAAAATGATTTAATTTATTGATGTATGAATTATAAAAAAATATCTTGCCGATACGGACTCTATAAAATTTGCTCTGTCTTTGGCACACCCACCACGACCTGGACATTGACCCCTGAGAGCTCGGCCCTTTTTTGGCACCCGCTTCAACTTACCCCGAATTATTGATTGAAATTGAATGGGAAATCACCTCCTAATCTCCAAAATACCGATTCAAACTACCAATCCAATGCCGAGCCCATTAATTCGCGCTAGGGGACAAGCGGCCAGCGGCCGCGTACAATTGGGGCACGCATAACTGAGAGCTCGCACGCGTGTTCTTGCAGCCCATCTGTATCACAGCTCTCGGGCTCGGGGTCGGACGCGCGCGCGTGCGCAGGCGAAGCCTGTGGCATCAGAATCCGGCGTCTCCGGCATGTCTCTTTTTGTCTCTCTCTCTTTCTTTCTCGGTGGTATCAGTTTCTTTGTCTGTCTGTCTGTCTCTGTGTCTGTGTCTGTCTCTGTCTCTGTCTCTGTGTCTGTCTTTGTGTCTGTGTGTGTCTGTGTGTGTCTGTGTGTGTCTGTGTGTGTCTGTGTGTGTCTGTGTGTGTCTGTGTGTGTCTGTGTGTGTCTGTGTGTCTGTGTGTCTGTGTGTCTGTGTGTCTGTGTGTCTGTGTGTCTGTGTGTCTGTGTGTCTGTGTGTCTGTGTGTCTGTGTGTCTGTGTGTCTGTGTGTCTGTGTGTCTGTGTGTCTGTGTGTCTGTGTGTCTGTGTGTCTGTGTGTCTGTGTGTCTGTGTGTCTGTGTGTCTGTGTGTCTGTGTGTCTGTGTGTCTGTGTGTCTGTGTGTCTGTGTGTCTGTGTGTCTGTGTGTCTGTGTGTTTGTGTGTCTGTGTAGTTGTGTTTCTGTCTCTCTGTATTTTTGTGTTTTTGTTTCTTTGTGTTTGTCTTTGTTTTTGTCGTTTATTTTGTCTCTGTGTTTTGTGTTTGTTTTTTGTTTTTCTGTTTGTTTGTTTATTTGAATTTGATATAAATATATAAGGTTTACTTAATATTATATAGGTTAATTGTTATGAATTTATGAAATTTAGGGTTTGATTTTTATATTGTAGAAAGAATTAATATAATGTTAGTTAAATATTTTTAGTTTTTGTTTTAATTCGATGATTTATAATAAAATATACAATGATTTTTTAATAATTATGATTAATGATATTTATTTTATTCTTTTAAACGAAATTAGTTTGGTTTTGTTTATATTTAAGATATTTTAATTAATATTAGTTTTATATATATAGTAATAATAATGCATAAAAATTAATAATTGATTTATTAAGATTAATAATCCATATATCTATATATATTTTTATTATTATTATTTTTTTAATTATCTAAATATTTATATATTAATATCGAATATCTAAATATTATTATTTTATACATATCAAGAAAGCATAACCCTCTCCCCTTTACCCTTTCCCTGCTTAAGGCCAAATAAATGGGAAACTTGTCGAAAGCCTTGGGGAAACTTCCGTAAGCCTTGCAAAAACTTCCAGAAGCCTTAGAGAAGCTTCGGGGAAAGGGGGGGGGGGGAAAGGGAAATTTAAACAAAGGTGCATACCCCTCCCTCCCCCTTTTCCCCCCCCGAAGCTTCCAATAACTTCCCCGAAGCTCCCCGAAGCTCCCGGTAACTTCCTCAAAGCTGCCGGAAGTTCCCGCAAAGATCCCGGACTTCTAAAGCTTCGGGCAAAGCAAAAAGGCAAAGGACGAAAAAAATAAAGGAGCATAAACGTAATAATATCTAAACTTATCATACCACCAGTCAGTAAAAAACCTTTAGGAGCCAAATATTTTAACAATATCATAACACTCCAATAACAATATTATAACATATCTCAAAAAGGGAAAAAGAATTCATGCTTTCTTAAACATCGTAATAACTTTAAAAATATCTATAATTCATCTTTAAATATTTTAAATTTTTAAAATTTCATTCCAAAACCATTTTTCTCAAGCATTTATTCGGTCTACCCATTTCTATCTCTATAAATATAAATTTATCCATAATTAAATTAACATATTTTTTATTTTATATTCTAAATTTATTATTCTCCTATCATAAGCTTCATCTCGCACGCTGCTAAAAAGCAGCGGGTCCCCGCTAATATACATTTGTATATATATGTTTTCCCCTCTGCCTTCATCCGATAAGAGTCCGGCATGCAACTAGCAGCAAAAAAGATGACCCACCGTGGATATTCAAGGTCCAAAGCGTCAAAGATCTGGAGAACATTTGGCTGAACCATGAAACCATGGCCTGATTCACTGCCATTAGCAGCGGGATCGTGGCCCATGCCATGCCCAACATCAAGACACCACGACAACCCCGGCGGTGAAGCTGTTGTGTGAAGCTGTTGGGATCTGCGTGGGGGGTTCCAACGGGCCCCGTTCCGTGGTGGTGCTCGTGATGATCACTGCGCTCTTCAGAAGCAGACTGAAACCATAGGATCATCAAAACTCTCCAAGTCTTGAGAAATCTCAAAAATAGAGGTTGAAACATTCGAAATGCTCTCCGGATGCTCAATATCTTCCATGGTCACAGGAAACCTGTCGGGCGCATTGGAACTCCACCAAGCAATGGACACCTTGGAAGCGTAGTCCCCAGCACCGCGCCTCCACAACGCCCAAAGCAGGGAGTCTGGTACATGCTTTTTGACGGCTAAATCGAAGGCTGTCTGATTTCTGCTGTTGCGCACATCCACCCGAGCACCGTTTTGGAGGAGCATATGCGCACAGCTGTAGCAACCACTCAAGATGCTCCGCATCAAGGGGGTCGCGTTGGTTTCATGATACGCCAGGGTCGTCATAGACGTCGGAGCCACTCTGTGCTTGAGCTCAAAGGCAGTGAACACCAACTTCGACAAAGTGTTTCTTTTTTGCACCACTCCATCCTTGTCACAACCCATTTGGAGCAACACGGAAATCGTTTCAGGGCTTCCATGCCCAACTGAGGTGGCAAAGCCAATCGCTTCCCTCTGCGAAGCAGCATGAGGGGGAAGTTTCAGTACGTCCTTGAGGACCTTGGTGGCTCCCATGGTGCAGGCTTGATCAAAGGCATTGGTGTCAAAAATGCTCGTCAATGTTGGATCCGCACCGGCCTCAATGAGAATTTTGGCTCCTTCCGCGTTGTCGGAATTGGACACGTAGAACAATGGAGTGCTGCCCCCGGGGTCTTGTTTGTTGGGATCTGCTCCGAAACGAAGCAGAACTCGCATTGCCTCGTTGTGTTGTTGCCCTGCGCAGATGGATACTGCTGGAGTCCCGTTGACAAACATCACCAGGTTTTGCACCTTCCGGATGTAGTCGTTGGGATCTGCACCCTGCAACAGCAAAGCTTCAATCACCTCGGGTTTTCCACCCAAAGCGGCGTACAGCAACGGCGACCACCCAGCTCTGTCACGATCCGAAATCTTCTCAAAACCATTCTGCTGAAGGAAGTCCTTGACAATCTGCTGGGGGGACGAAGCTGCATAGCCGAGACCTTCTTCGAACCCGGCAGGTAGGGTGTCAGTGTTCCTCATAAGGACGGACTGGTGATGCAAAAGAAAACGGTACCTGGGAAAATCCCGCTTTCTCAGTGAGGTGTGCAACTGCTTCTGCACCACTGCCTTCACCAACTCTCCTACCACTTTTCGGTCTCTGGGTATGGTGAATTCGCCATCACCCGGCGATTTCGAGATGGAATATCCGGCAGCCAGGGACACCTGCCGCGGGCTCTCTATGATCAATGTCAAGCCGTTGCTGACAGAAAGGTCCCGCGCCGCAGCTTCCGCTCTGCACCAGCCCCTCTGTTGCCATGACTCAGTGCTCAAAAACGATCGACTTTCATGTGCCATCAGCGGACAAAGAGCTACAAAGAAGTCACACTTGTCGATGTAGGCAGGGATGCTGGCAATCGCATTCCTCTGATCCTGAAACTGGTTTGCACTTACTGATCGGCTTCGAGCCTCGATGGCATATTGCGGGATGCAGAAGTAGTCGTACCAAACCGAGATCGGAGTGGCAGTCAACTGGGAAGCTTTGAAGCCTTGAGCTGATCCGCCTGCGATTCTGAAGACGAACTCCGTCCAAACATTTGGCTGAGCAACAGTGCTGCCTGACAGGAGATTGGACATAGCCTGTTGGAAGATTTTCAGCTGTTTCCCGTCCGGGTCTGGGTGTTGTTCTGCGGTCCACTCATGAGAGATGAACATCGCCTTGCCATGAGCAGGATCAAAGGCTTCGAGCAAGCCCTCATGCAACAACTCCTGGTGGGGCCTTACTTCCGTCATCTTCAAGACGGCCTCCATTGGAACCACGTACATCGGAAAGTCCGTAGGCAACTCCTTCGGTGTTGCCAAACATGCAGCGCGATCCTCCAATGGAGTCCGGGGCATGTCCCCAAGACAAACCATCTCTTTGATTTCGGAGCTACTCACCTCAGTGCCTCCACAGATCAGTGCTGGGAAGAATCCTTCCCTTGAGCACAACATCACCATTTTCATTGCGCATGTGTCAGGATGCGCAGCGTAAGAACCACATGCCATCTCTACCAAATCCATCCACGGCTTTCAATCTCGTTTCATCATGATGAATCAAAATCAATCAGCATGAATCGAGTAATGGCAACCGAGTATGAGTGAACGGTTGGTTTAGAAGGCTTAGTTTCGTGAAACTCTGGCCACTCAGGAAATACAGCCACTCAAGGACCACTGACACAGCCAGGGTCGCCTTCAATGCGGCCATGTCAAAGGCTGCCTGTGGTCCCAAAACTTCTCTGTCTCTGTCTCAGTCTCACTCTCTGTCTCAGTCTCAGTCTCAGTCTCAGTCTCTGTCTCTGTCTCAGTCTCTGTCTCTGTCTCAGTCTCAGTCTCAGTCTCAGTCTCAGTCTCAGTCTCAGTCTCAGTCTCAGTCTCAGTCTCAGTCTCAGTCTCAATCTCAGTCTCTGTCTCTGTCTCAGTCTCAGTCTCAGTCTCAGTCTCAGTCTCAGTCTCAGTCTCAGTCTCAGTCTCTGTCTCAGTCTCAGTCTCAGTCTCAGTGTCTGTCTCTGTCTCAGTCTCAGTCTCTGTCTCAGTCTCAGTCTCAGTCCCAGTCTCTGTCTCTGTCTCTGTCTCAGTCTCAGTCTCTGTCTCAGTCTCTGTTTTCTGTCTCTGTCTCAGTCTCAGTCTCCGTCTCCGTCTCCGTCTCAGTCTCTGTCTCTGTCTCTGTCTCTGTCTCAGTCTCAGTCTCAGTCTCAGTCTCAGTCTCAGTCTCAGTCTCAGTCTCAGTCTCAGTCTCAGTCTCTGTCTCAGTCTCTGTGTGTCTCTGTCTCAGTCACAGTCTCTGTCTCTGTCTCAGTCTCTGTCTCAGTCTCAGTCTCTGTCTCAGTCTCAGTCTCAGTCTCTGTCTCTGTCCCTGTCTCTGTCTCTGTCTCATCTCAGTCTCAGTCTCAGTCTCAGTCTCAGTCTCAGTCTCTGTCTCAGTCTCAGTCTCTGTCTCTGTCTTTTTGTTTTTCTCTCTCTCTCTCTCTCTTCTGTTAATATGCATGCATCTATAGGCACATCATTATGTATAGCATGTGGACACATCATCTGTGTCTGGACATCTGGGCTCCTAGGGCCCTTGAGCTATTCGCATCGTGGAAAACATCTTAGGGTCAGCTGCTGCAGACAACCATCAACTCACATCAGTTGATTTCAACATGGTAGCGGAGCAGTGATCCCCTGGAAAAGATCCAAGGCATCGGGGTGAGCTCCAAAACATCAGCAGGTAGTATCGTAGAGTAACATCACACACCAGCAACGACAGCAATGGCAACAGCATCAGCATCGACACCAGCAGAGGAGCAGGTAAAGAGCATATATCAAAACAAGATCACACCACCCATCTTTGATGGAGACTACAGCAACTTCGAGGAGTGGAGATACAAGCTCACAGGATCATCAATCCAACATTTCCCAGACTACTGCAACAATCAGAAAGGTCAGCAGCCCCCATCACAGACAATGTCATCAGAGCAGGAGCCGACACCATCGAGGAAGGAGAAACCTGGATCAGGTTAGCATCAGAACTTCAGTTCATCTTGGTCAATATCACCAAAGGTCCAGCAGCAACAGTACGCCGCCAAATGGGTCTGACATCAAACGGACTCGAGACTTGGCGACAGTTGGTCACAGGTTAGCGTCAGAACTTCAGTTCATCTTGGTCAATATCACCAAAGGTCCAGCAGCAACAGTATGTCGTCAAATGGGTCTGACATCAAACGGACTCGAGACTTGGCGACAGTTGGTCATCAGATTCTCCATCCCAGTCGGTACCCGATCCACAGGTTACCTCACCAAGCTTCTCAAGCCATCATTCGATGAAGTCAAGTTTGAGGAATCATTCGCAACATGGGAACTTGAGATCAACAGATATGAAAGGGACAACTCAGCAGTCCTTCCAGACAGCATCAAAATTGCAGTGTTGCTCAACGAAACTCGTGGAGCACTTCAGCAGCATCTACAACTCACAGCATCACACGTTACAGACTATCAGCGCATCAGAACAATCATCATTGAGTACTATCGAGCAGCAGCATCATTCAGCAGAATGCAACAACTCAACGGACATCAGCCCCAAAGATGACAAAGGTCCAGCACCAATGGACATCGGAGCAAGATGGAAAGGAAAGAACAACAAAGGAAAAGGTAAGAAAGGACATGACAAGGGTAAAGGAAAATCATTTGGTAAAGGAAAAGGCTTTGGCAACAACTACTACAACAACAAAGGAAAAGGCAAACACTACGGTCCCATCGGACAAGGCAATCCTTTGAAAGGATCAACAAAAGGCAACTATGGAAAGGGCAAACAACAACATCACAAAGGCAAAGGTAAGGACGACACAATGACATGCTACAAATGTGGCCAACAAGGTCACTCGCCAGGAACTGTAGAGTTCCCATCTACAACTACGACATGGGAGATCAGAACAACATGTCTGATCCAACATACAGTTGGTTCAACGATCCACAACAATACGATGCATCTTATAAATGGGGTGTGATGGATGTTGTTCTTGATATTTTGCGAACGTCGCGGTGACTTTTGCTTTTTGGTCTCACTGATGTCTAATATGTCTGCACGCCATGTTTCCATTGAAGACAGGATTATTCATTTGAGGTTCGTGCAGCGCTCATGTACCACGGGTAATGTATTGGGGGGTCCTTGAACTATCTATTGGCATAGGTTCTAAACGAAGGAAACGTCAATGGCTTACTATGGTAAGCAGCGATCAATGTCCACACAAAAACGGCCAAATGTCCACACAAAAACAATCAAATGTCCACAAAAACACGGCGACATGTCAACAAACGAACGGCCAACTGTCCACACAAAAACGGCCAACTGTCCACAAAAAACGGCCAACTGTCCACAAGAAAACAAATGTCCACAAAAAACGACCAACAAGTCAACAAAATACGGCCAAATGTCCACACAAAGACAAAGGTGTGGAATGTGCAGAAGAAAAAGAGGCCAACTGCCTACAAGAAAAGGGGCAAAACAAATTAAGCGTTTGTTAGTAAAGATTGAGCAGACGATGCGACAATGTGCGTGAAAGTCCAGGAAATGGTACCACATGTTCACAATACGAACGTCAGATTTCAGGTGGACTTGAGATTTGCAATAGGAGTCTTGAGCAAGCCGACGCTGAAATTGAGGCCTGAACGTTTCCTTGTCAATCATTTTGGAAAGTCGAGAGACTCCAGGGCAGACATTTTTGTCAACATTGGGCGGACATTTTGTGGACAATTTTTGTGGACAGTTTTGTGGGCAATTTTTGTGGACAGTTTTGCGGACAACTTTGCGGACATGTTTGTGGACAACTTTGCGGACATTGCGCGTACATTTTGTGGACATTGCGCTTACATGTTGTGGACATTGTGCGGACATTTTGTGGACATTGTTCGGACATTTTGTGGACATTGTGCGGACATTTTGTGAACATTGTGCGGACATTTTGTGGACATTGTGCGGACATTTTGTGGACATTGTGCGGACATGTTGTGGACATTGTGCGGATATTTTGTGGACATTGTGCGGACATTTTGTGGACATTGTGCGGACATTTTGTGGACATTGTGCGGACATTTATGCGGACAGGAGCAGATTTCAGCTCTGAAATAGATAGTTTCTAAACTTGGAACTATCAAATTGTATCAGTACGAAAGGGCAATATGCAGGGGCAGCTTAGAGCCGAAAGCCAATGGACAAATGAAACCCAAGTCTACAAGTTAAGAAGGACAATGCACAAGTTGGAAGAGGAACGTTCTGCAACTGAAAAGCCAAAGGCTCCACAACTTGGACACCCAAAAGCCCACAGCACAACCCATGTTCACAAGTTGAAAACCCAAAGGCTAGCATGTTATAGCAAGTCTGCAGCTTAAAAACCCAATTTCTACATATACCGTACAACAAAATTCTCAAAAGCCTGCAGCATGTCCAAAACCCAGGCGAATATGAAAACATATGTTGCAACCTGAGAAAAAAAACACATATCCTGTAATTACAGATAAGCCCCATAAGAAAGGTGGAAAAACAAATTGCAACCAACAATAGTGGTGAACAATACACATCAAACAAGAAACATTTCAAAATCAGGAAAACACTGGACACATAACAAGCTTAAAGAATCAGCTACTGGTAATGGAAGAACGAATCTTAGGATTAGATAAAGCACAAGACTAACATCCCTAACAGGGAGCCACCCGTAGGCTTAGATGGCAAGCCAGTCTTACATCTACAAACACATATGGACAAACACCGCAAAAACATGGGAATCATCCGTGGACAAATGCTTCAAGAATACGAGCGTCTGTGGATGACCGGTTGAAAATGAAGAAAAAACGTGGACAAAAGGCTGGAAAAAAGAAGAAACTCCGTGGACAAAAGGCTGGAAAAAAAAGAGGAAACTACGTGGTCCACGGCTTGTAGATGGCCGTTCTGTTTCGGACCTGTGAATTCAAATGGAATCCCGCCGTGCCCTCTGGCTCCGTACAGGCATTTGTTTTTGTGTGTGTGTGTGTGTAGAAAAGGGCCGGCATGCAGCTTTGAGAAGGGCATCTTCTGGCTTCGTCGGGACCTACCCCAAGGGCGTTTACATTGGTAGCGGAGCCTACCGGCTTGGTGGGGGTACCGGAGGAGGAAGCGATTGATGGTGAGGCGGGGTCGCCTCACACGGGTTCAAATCAATCTACGACCTCTTGGGGGCGCCAGTGGACTTCGGAGGAGTGGGAGCAGTGGTACCACTCAGACCAGCCTTGGTGGGGATGGGCTACGACGAACTACCCGCGGAGCAACGGCAGTGGCTGGGACCGTGGTTCGGACTTTGATGATCGAGACAGAGGAGGAGGTACGGACAAGATCACGGTGCCGGACTTCAACGCGGAGGATGACCGGGACGGTGTGAAGGCCCGAGGCTACTTGCGGAAGATCGAGGCTTGGCGGAGGGTCACGAAGATCAAGACCTACAAGCAGGCGCTAATGCTCTACAACCACCTATCAGGCCGAGCCTGGAGGGACGCGGAGGAGCTCGAGATGGGCCGGCTTGACGGCGAGGACGGCGTCGAGTACTTCACGCAGTGGATTCGCGAGAGGTACCTGGACAAAGAGGTGGTGAAGGTCGGCAAGCACATGACTGACTTCTTCAAGAACTTGAAGAAGGCACAGAACCAGGACGTGAAAGACTTCAACCGGGAGTTTGATCGACAGACCGGGAGACTGAAGGAGGTTGGCTGTGCCCTGCCGGATGTTTGCCTGGCGTGGTGGTACGTTGACAAACTCAGGTTGGACAACGCGACCGAGCTCAACCTGCTCTCCTCGACCGGGAACAACTACAGTTTGGACAAGCTGCTGCAGGATGCCGGTGATCCAAGACCGCGTCAATCGACGTCTATGGGAACAAGGCGGACGACGCGGAGGAGACCAACCACAAAGGAGGAACCAGCAGGCGTATGTGACCGAGGACCACGGAGATGATGATGACTGTATCGAGGACGAGCTCGAAGGCAGCGACGAGTCGGCAAAGGGGGACGAGACCGAGGACGAGGTGACCGAGGAGGCCTACGTGACTTACCAGAACGCGAAGGCCAAGTACAAGGCGATCGTGAATGCAAGGGGCATCACCATGAAGGCCAAGACGGACGAGAGGATCAAGGCGGCAAAGGCGAGGAGCTACTGTTCGGCATGCAAGAAACGAGGACATTGGCATCGGGATCCTGAGTGCCCTCTGAACAAGGGCAAGAACAACGCTGGAGACCGCAAAGAACCACATCAAGCACAGTACTGCCACGTGGCGTACATGGCGGGTATCTACAAGACGGACACGCTCTATGGCATCACCGACTGTGCATGCACTCGGACCGTGGCGGGACGAGACTGGGTCAAGAAGATGATCAAGTATGCGGAGCAGTACGGGGTTCCCCACTTCATCATGAAGCAGGACGAGGTGTTCAAGTTTGGAGGACCGGACACGTTTCCTTCGCGCCGGGCACTTGTGGTGTGGCTGGAAATCAAGGAAAGGCCGTTTGCTTTACGGATCTCGGAGGTGGAATGCCCGTTGCCGCTGCTCCTGAGCCGGGGGGCACTGGCGATGCTTGGCATGCGCTACGACCTCGAAGGCCACAAGGCAGACTTCGGAAATCTGGGCGCGGCCGGTTTGGAGTTGGGCATGACGGAGACAGGACACCCCACTGTTCCTGTGACGGGCCGGCGGACCATTTGGCCAGATTGGCCATTTCGTACAGATTGGTCAACGGTCGAACTTTACATTGAGTCGAAACCGCATGGATGCTATATGGTGCGGCCGCTCCGGGATCCTGATGTGGGACAGGGACAGGTTTTATACCCCAAGAAGACTCCCCATAATCAGCGTCAGAAACTGATTGGGCCCGTGGTTTTGGGAATGGTGGAGGACTTGCCCTTACATGAAAGACTTCTGGATCGAGGACCGTGACCAGTTGGTGCGTATCCACGTGACACCGGGGAGCATGTCGAAATCAGCCATGAGTGGGAGCGGAACACGGAGAACTGCCGGTTGAGATTATGGATTGGCCGGAGCTGTTTTTCTCGAAGTACGGCGGAGGCTCCCACCCTTAGAACTTGCAATTCGTTGGATGTACAACACCTCGCCATGGAAGATGCGCAAGGCGGAGCTGATCAAGGAGCTCGAACAGAGAGGGGTGTACATCGATCCGGCATGGACTGTGCCGGAGCTACGGGCAACGGTGCTCGAGAACCGGGAACTGGTTGCCAAGATGGCAATGGGTCTCTCACGCTTCAACCTGGAGGAGCTGACGAAGATGTGCGTGGACCTCAAGATCGCATTGCCTACAAAGCAGACCAAGGGGGAACTTACGAAGCTCTTGAGGACAGCCTACAGCGGGCACGCGAACGAGGAGATCGACTTTGGGCGCCACAAGGGAACTCTTTACAAGGACGTACCGATGGAGTACCAGAAATGGGCGATCAAGGAGACGGAGGCGAACGAAGAGCCATCGCTCAACCTGGTGAAGTTCACGGTGTGGCCAAGAAGAACCTCGAGGCCAAGAAGGTGAAGGCGCTGGAGGTGGATATCGAGGAGGTTGCGGTGATACCTGTGCCCGACACCAAGGTGGACACCAAGGTCATGGTGGATATGAAGGTGACAACCAAGGCGGCGAACCAGGACAAGAACAAGAAGATGGCGACGACTTCCACGACTGCCAGGAAGAGGGAGACGGCGACCGACTCAGACGACTCATGGATGAGGATGGAGACGCAGTCAGATCCGGAGGCTCTGGAGAAGATCATGCAGCTGGAGACGGAACTGGCTTTGCTGAGAAGGGCGCAGCACATCGACCCTCGAGGAACGAGGTCAAGCGGAGGCAGTACTGGCAGCGGAGAAAGTGCTTGATGCAGGAAGCCAGGATCGCTCGGGAAATCCAGAAGCTTGGTGTCGACGCGGCGGCGAAGACCTATGGCGAGAACGGCGCGGGCGATGACAAGGACTACCAGGAGGGCATGGACCGGGACTTGGACAACAACGGCGGCTTCGACCAGGACGAGGAGTTGGACATCGGCAAGTGCCATGGGAAAAGGGTGAAGAAGGCGACAAGGAAGATGTTGACATCCTGGGTCCGGAAGTCTTGGCAAGCCTTTGCGCTTTTGACGTCAGCCCTGGCGACACCTTTGCTGGCGGAAGCCCAGGCTACCTTAGTAGAGCCGATCCTGGACATCAAGAATGTCTTCTGCAGACCAGAGGTGAACGAAGAGCAGCCCTATGTGCTGGAGATCTTCTCGGGAAAGGCAAGAATAACCCAGGCTTTCGCGGCAAAAGGGAAGGTGGTGATGGAGCCTCGGGATATATGCAACGGCCACGACATAAGGAGTCCAGAGACGAGAAGGGCGATCCTAGACGACATTAACGAGTTCAAGCCGAAGCTGGTCTGGTTGGCACCACCCTGTACGTTTTGGAGTACATAGACAAGGATAAACTTCCATGGCCGCGAACAGGAACTTCGGAGGAGACGTAGTAAGGAGAGGGTTTTCCTGGAATTGGTGGAGGAGTGCGCGAGACTGCAGGTCGCGGGTGGAAGACACTTCATCATGGAAAACCCCGAACACAGCGCCATTTGGGAAGTCAACCGGATAAAGAACGTCAAGAAGGACCTGAGGCTGCACGAGTCCAACTTGGACATGTGCGGCTACGGATTACAGGCAGTTACAGATGGACGAGCCTTGAAGAAGCCGACCAAGCTGCTGGTGAGTCACTACGGTATGGCTGAGGACCTGGGAAGGCGTTGCAACCGGCAGCACGACCACGGACAAACGGCAGGGACAAACACTGCGGCCTCGGCATGTTATACGTGGGAGTTCGCGAGGGCCGTGGTGCGCGCGACAGAGAAGGTAGAGAAGATGCTGCATTCAGCCTATGTGGCGGACGTTGAGATCGGCATGAACGACGAAGAAGGCGACGAGGAGCTGGTGGCGGACCACGAGTGGCAGGGTGCGGCTGGTATAACGCTGCCGAAGACGGTTCCCAAGCAGATGGCGGCGGCTCTCAGACGGGTACATCAAAATCTGGGACATCCAAGCAACACTGATCTAGCCCGGCATCTTCGTCTGAGCGGCGCGACAGATGCGGCTGTGAAGGGTGCAGAGCAGCTTCGGTGCCAGACATGCCTATGCACGAAGAGACCAGGGCCTCAAAGGCCGGTGAAGCTGGTGCTACCGATGGACTTCAACGACGAGGTTGCTGTGGATATATTCTACTTGTACGACAAGGACCAGATGAAACACACTGTACTGTCGGCAATGGACATGGCCTCCGGGTACCACGTGTGTCGGACCATCACAAGCAGACTCTCCAAGGACCTGGCAGAGACTGTGCGACAGATGTGGCTGGAATGGGCTGGGTCGCCAAAGAGGATGGTGTGCGATCAGGAGCGCGGTTTTCAGAAGGACTACGTTGACCGTATGGAGCAGCAGCAGATCCACGTCAAGTACATCGCTGGACAGGCTCATTGGCAACTGGGGTCACTGGAGAGGCAACAAGGGTGGCTTCGGTCTATGTGGGATAAAGTTGTGGAGCACGAGGGCATCGACTACACGGAGGTGGACTGGACGCTAGCCCAGTTGGTCCACGCCAAGAACAGTCTGAGGAGACGAGACGGGTACTCACCCTCGCAATGGGTATTTGGTGTGGAACCACGTATGGAGCACGGACTGCGAGATGGAGGACATGACGGTCAAGGACAGCCTGACACGGTAGGAGGAGCATGGAGCCGGAAGACGGCTTTGCAACGGGCAGCGAGAAAGGCCTTCTACGAGAGCCAGGCGAACGAGACGATGAAGAGGGCGGCCCTCGGACGACCTCGAGTCCGGAGGCACGAGTATCAGACCGGCGACATCGTCTACATCTATCGGGTGATGAAGACTGCGGGCGGTGCTGGGCGAGTACGGCAAGGTGCTGGACAGTGGATAGGCCCGGGCACAGTGATCGGCAGCGAGGGCGAGTCAATATGGGTGTCGCGTGGGGGACGGTGTTTGTTGTGTGCCAAGGAGCACTTGCGACCGGCTGAGTCTGAAGAGCTGGGCACGTTGTTTCAAGCACAGTCAATGCAGCGGGATTTGAAGCGACTGATGGAACGGATCGAGGACGACGACGTGGAGGATGAGGAGATCTTCAAGGAAGTGCCGGCCGTTCTGGAAAAGACCGAGGCAAACCAAGTGGCGTCAGACCGGAAAAGATCCTGGCCAGATGGGGTACCTCGCAAGAGGATGAGGCAGAAAGGGCCTATACCAGCGCCTGAAGAGATGGAGTTGGACGATGAGCCCTACACGCCCAGCCCCCTGACGAGGCGCTTTGGACGACACAGAAGAGGACACCTAAGACTATGGCTAAGCAACAGGACAAGGAGATCGCGTGGAAGGACATCCCGGAGAATGAGAAGCCACTCTACTTGCAGGCCGAGCAGAAGCAGTGGCAAGAGCACCTGCTGTATGGGGCGGTGCGGGTCCTGAGCGTGGACGAGAGCAGGCGTGTGAAAAAGGAGGTTGATCCTAGTCGCATCTTGACGGCCCGCTTCGCATACCGGGATAAGAACGCGGCAAAAGAGGAGAGCCGACCCGAGCGTACCACCGAAGCCAAAAGCCAGGCTCTGTATAGCCGGGCACCGCGACCCTAACCTGACAACCGGAACGTTAAACACGGAAGCCCCTACGGTCACGAAGAGCTCGCTGTGGACACTATTAGCAGTTGCGGCTCAGATGGAGTGGAAACTGGCAGCTGGGGACATCCAGGCGGCGTTCCTGAACGGTGAGGAAGCACGCAGGGATCTGTACATGCGACAGCCTGTCAGAGGACTTCCCGGCATGCACGAGGAGCAGATTGTGGAGGTGGTGAAGGGCATCTTCGGACTGGCTACATCGCCGAGGCTGTGGTGGAAAAGATTGGCATCCGAGCTCACGGCCATGGAAATTTGCATCAAGGGAGAAAAACTCACACTACACCACCATGTGCTCGATAGTTGCATGTTTATCCTCCGCGACGAGAGCGGTGAGATGCGGGGTGCCCTGGTGACGCATGTCGACGACATCTTGCTCGCGGCCCCTAAGGAGGAGATCACAGAACTACAGAAGAACCTGTCGGGCATCTTTCCTATATCAGAGTGGGAGAGCGATACCTTCGAGTACATCGGTTCGGACATTGAGCAGAACGACAACGGCATCCACGTGGGACAGAGCAGCTACGTCAAGTCGAGGTTGGAGACCGTGGACATCCCGAAGGGCGTGAATCCGGAGGATGTGGCGGACGAGGTCACGAGGTTGGACAATCAGTCCGTGGTAGGAGGATTGTCCTGGTTGGCATCACAGACCAGACCGGACTTGCAAACAGGAGTGTCAATGGCGCAGAGGAAGCAGAAACACCCGACCTACGCGGACGTCAAGGAGACGAATAAGGTGGTGAAGTTGGCACAGGAGAATAAGGACGAGAGGCTGATCTTCCGGAAGGTGGGCGAGAAATGGGAGGACCTGGTGATCTTGGCCTTCCACGATGCGGCCTGGGCCAACGCACCGGAGGTGCGCGAAGAGGCTGGCGACTTGGAGATGCCAAACGGCGTGGGGATCTACTCGCAGTTGGGGCACATACTGATGCTGACCCACAGAGACGTCTTGGAGGGTAAGGAGGCGAACGCCATGATCTGCGGGTGGAAATCGCACGCTTGCGATCGGGTTTGCAGAAGCACTTTCGCTGCGGAGACGATGGCGGCTATGGAAGGGCTCGAGAGCGCGATGGCCTTCCGGGCGAGCTTGGTGGGGACCTTGCTGGGGGGAGGCCTGAGCGAAGAACGTTGCCGGCATGTCATCCCGATCGTGCCGATCACCGATTGCAGATCGCTCTATGATACGGCCAAACGTGAAGGCGGACCAAGGGCTCCTTCAGAGCGACGGCTGGTGGTGGACCTGGCAGCACTCCGGCAAATCTTGGAGGACGAGAACAACACATGGGGCCGGAAGCTCGCTTGGCCGACCGCGATGCGGTGGGTACCTACGGACTATCAGATGGCAGACGTCCTCACAAAGGTGAAGAATGCTAAGACGTGGTGGGCGTCAGCTAGGTCTGTAAAGCTACCTTTTGGCCAGAGGGCAACATAGACTCGGGGCGTGTGAATTCAAATGGAATCCCGCCGTGCCCTCTGGCTCCGTACAGGCATTTGTTTATGTGTGTGTGTAGAAAAGGGCCGGCATGCAGCTTTGAGAAGGGCATCTTCTGGCTTCGTCGGGACCTACCCCAAGGGCGTTTACAGGACCAATTCGTCATCGACGTCCACATCGTAATTACATTGGTGAAAAATGCGTCAGTCCATCATGCTCAATCTGGTTCTTCGCATTTATAGGGTGGAAATGACTCGCAAACAAAACTCCAACGACGTGCGCTTTTTTTCCGCCAAACTACTCAAAATCCGCCATGCATTTGTCGTGCAAAGCTGCGCACATCTTGGATAGTTTGGTGAGAAAGTCACCCGCGGTTGTGGCTCCTACATGTTTTCGCCGCATCCATTGATAAACCATTTTTTGGATATCAGGGTTCACAATTTATTCATTGGCCTTTTTGATTTTAGCTACCAACTTCGGTAGCCAGCTCTTCAGGGATAACCAACTGCGATCTATGATTTGTGTTCCACTTAGGGTTGAAATCAGACTGGAGTTCGGGACGTCAAAAAGCTTTGTGAACACTTTTAGTTGATGTGAAACACTATCATGTTTTAGAGCTAAGTCTTTACAACAGCCAGCCCACGCACGGTTGCCGTCGGCAAAAATCACACTTCCCTTCTTGCGAATCTTTCGGAGCAATCCAGAAGCTTGAATTTGACTGTTGCTTTCTGTAGGTGGGCGAGCACCGGGCACGGAAACCTGAGACATGAAAGACAACAGGTTTTATTAATGCAACATATACATCTCATTGTTGCAACAGAGATTGTAGAGGAAACGGCTTCCACAGGAACGTGATCAGCGCCCCACCCCACCCCAATGGCGTAGCAGCACAAACGTGATAACTGTGTGGCGTAGCAACAACAAACGGTCATCAGTGCCACCCCACCCCAACCCCACGTCATGTGAAATACGTAAAAAAAAACTGCTAAAAACGAACGGCCGTCTGTAAGCCGTGGTCCAACTACATGGACAAAAGGCTGGAAATTAAAAAGAAAAAACGTGGACACTTTGTGGACAAACAGGGCGTCCAACCCACATACTGAAAGCAGTTATGAAGCGGATATACTAAAGACAAAGCGGATAGTTCACGAACCCCCCAAAACATGTAATTACTAACAGGCTATTATTATGTATATGATAAATGTACATAGTTTTCTTGTTTTGCAAAAACATGTTCTTCGATAAAATGTTTTTCCTGCACACTGCACCCCTTCTTTCATGTTCTGTTAAAGTTTGTGCCAGGCAATAACACCAATGAACAACTCGTTACACATGTTCAAACTAAGATTAGGACAAACAAATCAAACGTATGACGACCCTCAGGCCGATACAGCCCAGCATGGCATTTCATGAGGCAAATTCCTACTCTTTTACAAATTCTAGGAGCAATATATTTTCCAACATGTTTCGCACAATTCTGCAACAAGGTTTGATGTTGGCTGACTGGTTGCCCGTGGTTGTTGTTGTTTTCTTGTGGGGAGGGGGGGGGGTAAGGGGAATAGTTCGCCCCCTCATTCAAAACAACAAGCTGCAATATGTTGCATCAATGAAGCAATACAGCGTATGGATCTTTGTGGATCAGTTCCGGCACGCTCTCTTCTGTTCTTGCCTGGTCAATGTCACGCAGGCTGTTTCAGGGTGCTGTGGCACGATTGCCTGGTGCTGTTGCATGGCTCTGCTGGCGAGCATGACGGACACAGGACGGGTGCGCTCGTAGGGTGCTGCGCTGGGGCCAACCATAGGCAACAGCCAACACCAAACACATGCCTTGCCATCAGGGGTCTATGCTGGCTTTCATATTTTTTTTGACTCAAAAAACTAACAAAACAACACCCCAATGCACTCACTCCAATTAATAAGAGGAGAACGCCTGCATGTGCTTGCCCGCTCGCCCGCCCTGCCACCCCCCCCCCATTCCACGCCAGACTAGGATCCGAATAGGTTTCATGCACATCAACAAAACCACCTGTGCACACATACAATTCATCCATGCACACACTGTGGGTCAAAAAGCCTGGACCATGCTTCTGCGTGCGTAGGCAAGCTCACTTTCATGACCTTGAATATGTATGGATCACTGAAACGCAACCAGGACCATAATCAGTGCATTTTCTTTGACTTTTTCGGCTGGCATTAGCTTCTGCGGTCTGCCATGATAGGCGCTGGCCGATCTCATTTCTCCTTCTTGGCCTCTTTCTTTGGCTCTTCCTTCTGTTTTGCTTCACCTTCCTTCTTGTCCTCTCATCCCACAAATCAACAATGCATCCACAAAGCAACACAAGTGGTGCACACCTCCAGCTCAGCTGGGCGTCGTTCTCTCCACTTCCTGGCTTCTTGCGGAGCGTGTTCATACACACATCAAGCCCGAAAACAAGGTTTCACGTGGAGTTCAGTCAAACAGCTCAACTGCAAGGCTGCAAGGCGTCCTCAACAGCCACTGGCACAGCTGATACATTGGTATCTGAGCTGAAGTGCTTCCACAGAGCGACAATGAGCTATCATATCTGGCTAAGGCGACAACTGGAAGTGCAAACGTCAGGAAGAACCTTAGATTCTTATGTAATGTGATTTTCTAGCTTCCCATGCTCCCTCTTCCTCCCAAAGCATCCTGGCATATGTTCGTTCAATCCCTCACACCTTTAACATGTCCATGCTCATGCCCACACGCCTTGTGTTGCTTTGTTCTCTCCTTCCGTGCATTTTGTAGATTTATTCCTTTTCTTCTTCGTGGCATATGCATTCAACTATTCCAATCTTCTACTCCTGAACTCTTTACCAGGTCCTGCTGCAAATATCCTGCTTCCGGTGGCTCTTGCGCTGAGCCTCATGCAGTGGAGGACCTTTGTTCTTCCAGTCGCTGTTGTGCACAGCTGCCTGGGCCTGCAGTGTGTAGGCAGGTTCTTCGCTCCAAATGCATCACAAGTCACGTCATAAAGTGTCTTGGCATGTCTTGGCTCGCAAGACGGATTTGTATGCCACTTACGCATGCACTTGATTCATTACGGACTTGTGGCCACCGGCATGCCGCCTGTGCCCTCAGCTGGGCCCACACTGAAGCAGACAGCTGCTGCATCTGACACACGCGGATTGGCCATGAGTCAGATACAACTTCAAGGCCTCAATGCCTCAAGGCCACAGGTCGGCAGAAAGCAAATTCGAAGCACAAAGGAAATTGCGAAATTGCACACTTCTGGCCTTCTCGATGGCTTCAGGACCTGGCCCATTGCAACGGGTGTCCCATGTCTAGATCCAAGGCTTGCCAGGCACACTTTCAGAGTACTCCACCCAATCCTGGGCATGTCACAGCATGTCACAGCATGTCATAGCATGTCGCAGACGAGCCGGAAGCTGAGGCCACGCTGAGCTTCACGCTCGTGGAAGGTCTGGGGGCCTCTGGCCTCAGAGAGCGGGCAATGTGAGACGAAGCCGGAAGAGAGGCCACGATGATGCCACGGTTACCCTCCACCCGACGCAAACTTGCACCAACTTGTCGGCCACGCCTCTTCTGATGGATGATGTGACTTTATGCAGCAAATCCAGCGCTGCTGTGGCTACTTCACCTGGAGTGGGAAACTAATATCAAGATATAATTGGAATGTCGCTTTGTTGGACATGCTTGTTGCCCAGCCTCCTTCAGCCTTTTTCCCAAAACAAACCATGGCCATGCGGAGAAGAGACAACTGGGCAGCCTGAGCAAGACTGCCCCGAGGCAAATGGCCAACAGTCAAACACCCACCTCCTCCCGAGAAAGATCGTTTTTGGCCAGCCGCCTCAACGCAACGTGGTGCTCAATCCCTATTCGTACACATGGTGCACAGTTGAACGGCTGTGGATCCCAGCTCTAAGATCTGCATGTCTTCTTTGGACAAAGAGCCGCCCAGCGTCTCTGTAGACATGGCGAAGCCTTTGGAACAAGCGCCATGGTCAAAGGCGTCACAGGCACCAAATTGCCAACATGCCGGGGGACAAGACGCTGCCCAAGCACTGTCAGCCTCAGTCGCCAAGGCTTTCGCTGGAATGGCTGACTTGAACGCAGCCTGTTCGTTCTGCTTGCGAGTCCTTCAGAGATCAAATCACGGGCAAACACAGTGCCATGGCAAACACAGGCCTTTGCAGCATCTCCATCTCCTGCTGTGCCTTGCTCAGATTCGCTTGCCCAGCTTTCAATTCCTGCAGGGACGCACATTTTGCGATTGATTTGCATTAGCCGGACTTCCACATCGCAAGCCTCAAGTTGCTTCTGGATGTCGTCGATATGGCTGAGCATCTCAGGATCCACCTTACTTGTTTGGCATTGAAATGAATCAGATTCATGCCAATTCCAGCCAAAGTTGCGTCCTCTTCTGAGAGCATGCCCTTCAGCCACAATACAGTGGGAGTGGAACAAAAGAAAGCTTTCCAAAATCAAACATGCAAGCAATGTTCACGGCACGATCGAACAAATCTCCATATTTGTGCCATTGGGACGCGTGATGGGCAGCCTTTTTTCGTTCCTGCTTCTTTCGTTCTACGTGTGCTCTGTGATTGAAGTGTCTCTCTATGTAGTGCATGCGCGTCCCTGTCTCCGTTTCTAACAACTACGAGAAATATATATATATATATATACATATATATATGTGTGTATATATATATATATATATGTATGTATATATATATATATATACAATCATATGTTTGCCTCGGCCCCCAGGGCCGGGAAGCGGTCAAACCCCTTCAGAACTTCTCCGCCGACCCACCCCATGTCGTGCAGCCAACATCCCTGCTACAGCCGCCTCCAGGCCGCCTGAAGCGATCTCCGGTCACATCCCCGAGAAACTCCTGTCCAGAGACCTTTCCAATCCGTAGAAGCCAAACTCCCCTCTACAAACCTGTCCAATCCCCTTGGACCCTGGTCCAACTCCGGCCAAATCCTTCCAAAAACCGGCACAATATTCCCGCCCTTAACCAGTCAAATTCAGCTTCGCTTGGCCCAAGCTCACTGCTGCAGCTCTCGTGCTGGTCCTTGAAGCCATGGAAAAATACGTAGACATGCACCCACCCTCTACCTTGGAAACCAGCTCACGCAAACACAAGACTTCAAGACAAACCAAAGCACGGTGAATACCTCAAAGCCAGCCAAAAGCAGACTGGCCGAGGCGGGTTACAATACATAGCTGCTGTACGTATATATATATATATATGTATATATATATATATATATGTATGCAGAACTACACACGATGCCAGGCCTTGCCGATTCTTTGTGTTGTCTAATGCGGGCGGTTCCGTTCAATTGAACACGCCATTCCTGGAGGGTGGCTAGACGGTATCAAACAAAGGGTAGAATGCCTGCAACAGTTTGCGGCCATTTTGGGCAGATGCGACAGGTTGATGTGATTTTGCACAAGCATGTTTTACTCCTGCTACACTTCAACTGATGTGGCATGTTGCGGCCAGCTCCGCGTGTGCGACGCAACATGGTGCCTGCATCATCTTGCAGTATTTTGCATTGCCTTTGACACTTAAGCCACCCCTGAATTCCTACGGTCCTACGCCCCTCTCAAACATTATCGGAAGCCCTGGCGGTCAGGGTCAGATATGCGGGAAGCCTTTGCGAGAAGCACAGCGCTCCAGAGCTGATTCCTGATTCGTAAGGCGGATCACGCAAACGTGGAATGCTTTCATGTGATCTTGTTGAAGAATCCGCTACTCATTTTCACTTGTTTGGTGGTCTTCCATTTCAACGCCTGGGCTGAGCGGTCCTGCAACGATCTCCCTATTGTAAGTGGCTCTCAGAGTGAAAACTTCGCACGTGTGAAGTATGCTGGCAGCAATGGAGGAAGGACATTCAAGAACCAAGATTGACGACTACAGGGGCATTCTCAAAAAACAACAACTGCATACTTCTATGTGCAAATTTGTACAACCACCTTCCCAGCAGAGGTGCGCACGTGCTTGCGATAGAGCTAGGCTCACAGTACTAGAATGCACGCTTGCCTTGTTGGACCCACACATTTGTGTCTTCTCTTGAAGTGCCTCTCTTGACCCTGCGGCTTCTTGTTCTCAATTTCCTTTGAGCCATTTCTTTTGCAAAGCAAGATTCAGCATTGTTTCCAGTCACACTGTCGCAACATTGCTCACAAGGCACAATGTCAACTCACATCAAAAACATATACAGAAATGCCTTGATCTTCGCATATCTTTCTTCTAGGTCTTCGTAACCTGGCACCCAGCCATCCAACTGAGAAGTGCTTTCAATGTCCTACAAGCCAGCAGCAGGGCAAGGCGCACGCCACTCAATCAAGTTCATGTCTTGCTGCAAACACCATGCCAGTTTGTGCTAGGTTCTGCAGCTGCCAAGACCATGCCATAAGGCACCAGTCCTGGGCGTGGCACAACTTATAATCTAGACTCCATTCTCTGAGTTGCGGCCTCCATGGAAACTTGGCCTTAGCAATAAACTGAGGCAGCAAAAACACACACCCACACAACACATACGCACGTGTGCCCTGCGAGGCATAAGACACCAGGCAAAAGCATTGCACCCAGAGCAAAGGCAGGATGTCTGCGGCACATGGCTGCAACCATGGCTCTCGTCAATGTATTGTCGTTGACATATGCCGCACAGGCTGCAAAGTGCGTGGATTTGCTCAACAATACGTAGAGTATTGCACAAACCCGTGCAAGCACTGCAATGGATGTGAATGTATGCCACGCAAGCCTGATTTCTTGTCATTTATCAGCCCAGTGCTGAGAGGGATTGTCATCTGTGATCTTTAATGTCCCCCTTGACACAAATTCTTGCCGAGCTCTAGGATCTTTGTAGACATTTAATCATGAACACTGCCAATGAAAGGTTGCTTTTTCCGGCATACGTGCGCTGTGTGCGATCTTTTGTCCTCATGTCCAGGCCACTGCGGACACCTGAAGGCAAGTCGGACCAGCTACAAACAGCGGGATTTACAAGCATGACATTTTTTCAAGTGGCTGGCATTACTCGTTTTTTTGCAGTGCTTTTCATCTTGCAGTACTTGAAAAGTACTCACACGGCTTGTTCAGAAGATTTGCTGCATGCCATGCAGCACCCCCGACAAGCCAAGCAGGCATTTCCACACCAGCTTGGCAGTATTGAATGGCCATTGACACTCTACAAACCAGCTTCTTTTGAGTGCCCTCGGTTCATTCTTTTGGGTGTATGCCCCATTTTGAAAAATAAGGTCACTGAATTCTAAATGAACAAGGTCACTTAAGCCATTTAAAGGGCACTTAGACCCTCAGGGTTGCCCTCCCCAGCAAATCCCTCCACCCAGCAGTCCAGGCAAATCTAGCCGCAGCGACACGCGAATGACACTCACGCAGGGGGAACTGACACTAGCAAAAGTGACCTTTTCAAGGGGTAAGTGACCTTGATTCGCACCCTTACTGACACTGAAATGACACGCTTTGACACATGTTCGGGCCATTCCGGGTCGGCCCCAATCAAATGTGGCAGTTGTCACACTTCGACACAGGTAGCTGTTTGATTTCAACAGGATCCCAACTCCATCAAGCCAAGGGCACTTAGCAAACGAATCAAAGGGGCACTTAGGGCACTGACACGGCCTTAAGTGGCCTCGATTCAAAAACACATCAAGTGACAATGATAGAAGGGCACTACAAATATGCTTGGAATACAAGTTTCTGATTCAGGCACATTATTATGGCTTTAGGCTTTCGGGACCTTTCAAATCTATATAGTTCTTGCTGCAGTCAGGACGCCACAGAGCTGGATACGTCGAACTGTACTTTGCAGAACGACTTCACCTGCAACTATCTGCTTCAGGCTCTCCAGACAGAACAGAACGGGCCGGCCTTTTGGGGCAACAAGCCAAAGTCAAGCTCGTAACGATATCGATATGCCTAAAATAACACGCAGGAAGCACACGGTCAAAACAACACCCTGAAAGCTGAGGAGCCTTCCAGCTCAATGTCAGAACTCGAGCCAGGTACACAAAATCACACCATCCAAGACAGCCGAGAGACTCGAATCAGCTGCTGCACGTGGCATCGCCTGCGCAGTGCGTCAATGCGGGCTGCATGTATGTTTATGTTCGTATGCAGGCACGCAAGAAACAATTCGCGCGGTCACCCCTTCCTCCAACCCCCCCGGCTCCATGTCGCGCGGCCAAAATCTCTGCTCCAGCTGCCTCCAGTCCGCCTGAAGTGAGCCTGGAAGCAGCCGGCCTCCAGGGCCGGGAGGTCAGATCCCTTCAACTTCAGGCAGATCCAAACTGGTCAAATCCCCTTCTAGAAGCCCAACTTCCCATCTAGCTCCGGTCAAATCTCGCTGGAAGCCGGTCAACTTCCTCCCCTCCACCACTCCAGTCAAATCCCCCTAGAAACCGGCCAAATTCCCGTTAAAGCAAATGCCTTAACCCCCAAAAAAAAAGAAGGTAGATTCGCTTCTAGAAGCCCGTCAAATCCCCTCTGAAAACAGGTCCAACTCCCATCAACTCTCTCTAGAAACCGTCAAAATCCAAAAAAAAGCCGTCCAATACCCCAGAAATTTGGATCTGCGCTTGGCCCACCGTTCTGTAGCTCTCTGCGGCTCTCGGCCTGGCCCTTGAAGCCACTTGGAAACCAGCTCACGCATTTCGGCGCCGACACACTCACTTTAATAACATCACTTCAAGGCAAGCTGAAGCACAGTATATACCTCAAAGCCAGCCAAAAGCGGACTGGCCGAGGCGGGCAACGCGAAGCGTTTACAATATATGGATATATATATATATATGTATGTATATATGTATATATATATATGTATATATATATATATGTATACGTGTATATTTATGTGTATATATATATATATGTGGTATCCCGCCGGAAGACTCAGGTTCTTGTAACATGCGCTGTCCAGCTTCTGGAAGCTATGCTCGAAAATGCACATTTTCCTATTTTTCTAACATCAGTACTTAGTGCAATCCAGGAAGTGCACTCCAGGATGTGCCAGCACATCCTGGATTCAGGATTGAAGATTCTCTTACAACTCTTTCTGTGAATGTTCAAATCTGTACTTAGGGCAATCCAGAATGTGCTAGTACGTGCTAGGACATGTTTATTAGTTTGTCCTATAGCGTGGATTTGAAGATTTCCAGACAAAGTGTCTGAGAATCTTAAATATTTAATCTTCAATCCAGGACTTGCTAGCGCATCCTGCAAGTACTGATTTGAAGAATCCCAGAAAGAGTTGTCAGAGAACCTTCAATCTTCAAGCTTCAATCCAAGATGCGCTAGCACGTCCTGGGTTGCCCAAGTATGGATTTGAAGAATCCAAAAAAGGCAGGCGAGGAGCGCGTTCCAAGAGTCAACTTGTGGATGTGCACCGCCTGCATTTTGCCAGGGAGAACCATGTGTTTTAAACCGCTTTACAGCTTTTTGGGGACTTGAGGGCTTGCCAGGGTGGACGATTCTCAAAAAAATAACATCTGGGAGTCTTCAATCTTCAATAGAAAACCTTCAAGAGTCTAGAAAAACTGTCAAGGTTTTTTGGGGCCAATATTGAGGATATTCTAGAACAATGTCTGCGGAATCTTGAAAAGTTGGCCTTCGATCCGGGGCAATGTGATCCGAGCGAATGCTGACAACCTCGTTTTGAAAAGAATTTTCTGTTGTTGGTTTGGCTCAGTTCTTGCTTGGTTGAAAACAAATGGAGTTCGATAAGGACAATAACCCTTATGAAATTGAGCTTGATTCCAACTGTAACTGGCCATGACAATAGCTGTATCGATCTTTGAGACGCATAAGAAACTGCAACCGGTTGAAGTTGAATTTGGTTTTAACTCGAAATCATTTCAAATCTGATGTCCTTCCTATCTTTGATTTTCAACAGTTGTTATCGACAATGATTGAATCGTAATAGACAAGTAACACACAGCTGAGATTTAACCACGCTATTGCACCACGCAAGGACATGAAGCCCTTTTGCATTTGATTTGGATGTCAGTTGCAAGTTCCTTTCCACCAAGTGGATGATTTGCAGAATTTCCTTGCAAAGCAAGAAAAATAAAACAGCATCATAGAGCTGTTGCAGGCACAATGAAGCTGCCAAAGCATATTTCGCGGGCTACTCTTGTAATGAAAAGTTGTGCTTTCTGAGCTGGGGCTGCCAAAGTGCACTTCGCATACCCCAACGTGACTTTAAGTGCACTTCGCGCACGCCAAGGCGACTTTCGAGCTGTTTAACTAGGAACTCTTTTCAAAGTTGAGCTTAGCTTGAGCTCGGTTGGACTTTGCATGGAGTTGCAAGTCCTGTCAAGTCAGTTGTCTGGCTAAAACCCTGAGTTCTGACCAGAAAACTGAGTATTTCAAGTGGGCTAACGTATTTATACATATATATATATATGTGCAAGGAAAGGCTCCTGAAAGCATCGAGCCCCGGGCTGAGTTGGAGTAAAAGGCTCCGCTTGATCCAACCCCTGGCAGCAAATTGGGTGACATGCTAGTTTCTCTCCGTAAACACAAACCACTAGTCCCAAAACACACTCTGCTTCCCCTGCGCTCACCTCCAGCAGCTCAAAGACCCTGCGCATAGCATAGCGAGCTTCTGGGAAACCTGGTACGCACATGGCAGAATCACAAAGCGGACCTTTTGGCGAATGGCAAAACTGTGCTCCACTTGCCTTGCTCGGGTTCATCGTCTGGAAGTTCCTGTTTCCTGCAAAGAAAAGCAGTTTGCAAGCCTCGGGGGTTGCAAAATTCCTAGTGGCTACAACGGCGTTTGCATGCAACCTTTTAGCGCCGGACAAATCTTTCGCGCGATCAAGTGCGTCCAACTCGATCAAGCACCAAGAGGCCTGATGCGTTGCACCCAAAAGACATGACATCAGTCCAAGCAAAATTGAATGGGTCATCAGTGTGGGCCTGTTTGGCTTACCGTGCAGGTGTTGGCGATACATGCCAACTACAGACCAGGCGTGGGGAGTTATGTGTTCAAAAAAAGCAAATTAAAGGCATATACAAACGGATCTCAGCGAGCCTGTGTCAGTGGATGCACTGCCTTTGGAAGATTGCCGAAGAAGCGGTGGAAAAGTATGGCCTCGACTTGGTTGTCGAATTGCTATGGGGAGATACCAAAACTGGCCCAGCGATTGAGACGCTGGTCAAGGCTTCCCTGGTCTGCACCGCTTCTTTTTCCGACTGACTTCCTCTTACTTCAGCTGCCCGGAGAGCAGCTTGATCTCTTCATTATCAATGCACAACAGTTCACAGTCCAGTGGCAAACTGCTGGAGCGTCTCTTCACCTGGGGCTCGCAGCACAACAGCTGACCACTTGCGTATCTTCAGAACTTGGATCAGTATGAGGCTGGATTTAGGCAGCCTGCCGTTTGCTCCCACTGAGATCCATAATGCGGAAACACGGCACCAGATATTAAATTCAGCCCATCCTTAGTTTGTTGGCGACACTGTCTGCAAGGACAGCCCTATTCAAACGTCTGCGCAACCTGCCTTCCGTGCAAGCCAAGCATCTAAAGAGCTTTCGCGAGACTCGGCAGGAATCACTTCTGGGTCGTCCCAACCCTTCCAGTAGGCAGTGTTACATGTACGACCAGCAAGGATGGCGCCAGCTGAAATGCCAAGGTACCTTGGCTTTGAAGTGGCAAAGGTAGGTGCTGAAAGCTCTTCTCGCGTGATTATGCATGCATGCAAACAAGTCGATCAACATTTGAAATGATGGCACGGTTATACAGCACATCACAAACAACAAATACACACTGTTACATGAAGCTGAAGCTGCGCAAAGGGCGTGTCAGACCGAACATTTCGGAGAGCCCTTCCAAGGCACGCCTTCTTCCTGCCAGGGCAAGAACGTGCGCTATGGGCTTCTGCTTCTTGCGAACTCAAACTCGAACAACGTGGCAATGCGCCAAAGCACGAACTAGAGCAAGTGAAGATTGGTAGGTTGACAGCTGCAGCGCGGGCCCATGCTGACCACGGGAACAATTGCAGGCAAGCTTCGCGTGAAACCACAGCCTGAATTCTCTCATTGTCACAGGACCATGCGTGCTTGCGCAGGAAATGCACTTGTACAATCAAGCAACTACGAAGCCGTTCTTTTGTGTGATTGCCAATCGGTATGTATGCAAACCCTGTCAGTATGCGGTCTGAGGCAAACGATAGCCTGCAATTAATGCGCGCATGTTTTGTGGAATCATTGCAAAGTGCTCTTTTTCCGGTAAAATGTTAACCTTATCCCACAACAAGATACACGAGAGGACAGGCTCATAGCAAGAGACATGAGAGCACATGTCGAACGCACATGCAGAGCAAGATGCACGAAAGCCTATGCATAGCAAGAGACATGAAAGCACACGCCGAGCGCACATACAGAGCAAAACGCTCGAGAGCCCGCGCATAGCAAGAGACACGAGACTACACGTCGAGCGCACATGCAAAGCAAGATGCACGAGAGCCCATGCAATAAACACGACAGCATAGGTCGAGCGCGCAGGCATGCGGAGCAAGATGCGCGAGAGCCCGCGTGTAGCAAGAAACTTGAGACCTCACGTTGAGCCCGCACGCAAAGCAAATTGCACGAGATAACGAGCGCTGCAAGCACACTCGCTTGAGCACACGTGCGGGAGCAAACTTGAACGGAGATCAAAATTGCTCTTTTAAGGCGGCGCATTGGTGTGGTCTAGATTCAAACGCTCAACGCATAGTCCATTTTTGCGATTCCCACGCAATCTCTGCAGTGATCGCCGTTGTCGCTCGTGTGTGGATCAGCCTGGCGATGCAGAGCAAGATGCGCAAGAGCAAGAGACACGAAAGCCCACGCGAGCAAACACATACCAGCACACTGGCACGAATGAACTCATGCGAGCGCTCGCTCTACAAACTTGCACACGCATTCGCACGTGCCCACTTGCGTGAGATAACTTGCAAGGGAGACTTGCAAAGGTTCTTTGGAGGCGGCGAGGTGGGGCCAAACCCCTTTCCGTGGATTGCCGTGGACGATGCCCAACAACTGCGGGTTTTTTCTACGTTTTGCGGCGCTTGCGCGCGCGATCCTCTGCTGGAATCGACGGTTGATGTCGACAAACTGAGAATGTTTTCTACTTTTGACTTGCTAGCCACTTTTTCCAGTCTTTGACTTGCACGCGCGACCTTCGGGATTGGCGTCTTCAATGTCACAGAGGAAATTATCACTTTTCTACTTTTCGACTTGCCCGCGCAACCCGCTCCGGGGGATTGGCGTTGCCCATGTCAAGCAAGCGAGGGCTGCTTCCACTTTTTGCGGCGCGCGCGGGTGGTCGCGATCTCTGCGCGCGTGTGCAAAAACTGAAGTGCTTTGCAACTTTTGGCGGTGCTTGCGTGGAGAACGTCCCTTTGCGTTGAGAACGACGCACGCAAAGACCATGCGCAAAGCAGCTTGGAGAGACATGGTTGCGCAGAGAGCTTACGCAGAGAAATTTGTCGCTTGCTTTGCGTGCAAGTTCGCTCTGCAAGCTTGTTTGAGTCAGTTTCTCAGCAAGTTTCTCTGAGCAAGTGTGTCTCAGCAAGTTTCTCAAGTTATCTGAGCAAATTTCTCTGAGCAAGTTTCTCTCCCCAAGCTCGCGGCTCAAATTTCTCTTCTCCAAGCTCCAAGTTGTTTTGCGCAAGCTTCTCTGAGCAACTTCTCAGCACAAACTTCTGTCCTGCTCAAGCGCAAGTAATCAATGCAAGTTCTCTGGGCGAGCTGCCCGTGCATGTTTCTCTGCGAGCGCAAGTGCTCTGTGCCCCCGTTCTTCTAGTTATTTGTCATTTTGTTTTCTTTAATTATTATTTTGGATAGGCAAAGTGTTTCTGCTCCTTGCAAGGGGAGCTCCCGCAAATGCCGATTCCCTAAGTGGGATTCCGAAAAGCGGAGCCGAGTCCCGCATCCCACAAAATTGGGATTGGGATGCGTGAATGTGGAAATGAGATTCGCAAACCCCCAATCCCCAAATTCAGCGACCCCCGGATCGCCACTCTTGCAAGCAGTCCGCGACAGAGATGTTTCCGACGCTATTGAAAGCAGCGGCTTGTGAACCTGATGGACTGAGATGACGTTTGCTGCACGCCCAAACAAGTACCACGGTCTCTTCGATTCAAACATTGCAGCAAAAATACGCAAGCCCTCGCGGCGCACTAACTTGTTGTTTGTTGATACCCTTGTAAGCAGGAGGCGCGGCTTAACTGCCAATGCTACTGGCGCTACCGCTGCTATCCTCCGAAAGATCAGCGCCTGTGGAGCTGCCAAAAGAGTAGCCGACGGTGAGGGGCTTGCGATATCGATTCGGCATTGTCAGGGCTTCCCTTCAGGGCCCTCAGTGCTACACCAGCCCCCTGCTCATGACGTCAGGGCCCATCACGCAACTGCTGGGACCACACTCTCATGATAGTTGTACTGGTGGTGCAATGCGCCATTCCCAGCCAACACTACAAACACTACAAACACTACGCTCATTCTTCCAGGCAAGTCGACGCTGCCATCCATGACCGGGTCGTGTGACTCTTAGTGCTGTGTAGCCCAAATGGCTACCACTTTCCCAGCGGCATCAAGTCAAGTTGGCGGTAGCATTTTTGAGTGAGTACCCCGTTGATGTGGTTTCTGGCTTGAACCTGCCTACTGAAGGACCTCATATTCCGAACACACGACTCTGATTGAACTTCTTGCCGAAGAGCCAAAACGTGTTCCCGCCGTCCACGACAAGAAGTCCACGGCCATCGGCGCCCAAGGCTGACTTCAGCTTGGCTGTCAACTTCGCAGCGCCTTCCAAACACAAGTTGTACATGGGCAAATACGGGAAGGAACAGCTTGGACGTATTGCGCGTGTATCTCACAGAGGGAGCATGGGTCTTTTGAGGGGCTCCCCGCTTCAATTAAGCAATTTCTTTGGCGCTGGGATTTGCTTCCCAGGATCTCCGTCACTCAGCGCCTCCATCCCCATCATCGTGAACGTCCTGCGCTGTCATCTGGCATACACTAGCGTGCTGGCTTTGATGACACACATAGGCAACGCAGGGCTTGCCGCAATAACAACTCAAGCCACTCCTCCAAGAAGATGTGCTCCACTGATGAAGCTGAGAAGGATTGCCCCAGGATCTTGCACTTGTGCCGAGCTTCGTAGCGCCGTTTTTTTCGCTGCTCCTTTAATGGACGATCCGAGTCTCTGCGTGGAGCCGTCTTGGCAGTACCAACATAAGCCAGTCTCAGTCCAGAGTCCAGGCTCAGTCGTTGACAAATGTTCGTCGAATTGGATGGTTGAATTCGTGATGCCAGCAGTGTCGGTATAGAAGCTGCGGAATCCGCACATCTCCGCGCAACTGTGACGTGCCTTCTGTTTGGCAAGCGTGGCGCCACGAAAGTAGGCGCCCATGCTGCTATAGAATAGTGTGCAATTGGCAAGAGAAGTGAGCTGAGCCACCTCACAGGCTTGCAGAAGCTTGCTCTGCAAACGAATTCGCATGTGGTTTGACACCACGCACACTAGTTGCAGCTTTGCAGTGACAACTGAGGACACCGCAAACTCCTGTAGGGAGGCAGCTTGCGATGCAACATTGACTCCAATTTGCCATAAGAAAGCATCTGTTTGTAGCACACTCTGACTACCGGTTGACAACTCGGTTGCGTGGCTAATTTTTGAAGCTTAACCAGGGACATGACTGCAAATTTGCTCGGCAGTTAAACACTGTTGAATGAATTGTAAACAATTTGATGCTGCATTGTAGGCCTCGCAACTGTGAAGTCTGAACCAGAGCAGCTGCAAGTACATGACATAGAATTGTGACTCACAGGCATACAGCAGCTAATTTTCAGTGACGTGGAAATGCACAACTGCAATTCATGCAGTCATTTCTCCTTCAGTTCATGCCATGGTTTCAAGCACTTGATAGGGGGTGGGTAGAAAGCCCTTCTTCTGCTACAACGAAAAGTCCAAAAAATTAAGGACGGCTGAGCTTCGAGCCAAGAGCGCCTCATGTCCTCAGCGTCATGTGAGCATCATAGGCATCTGAATGTGAACTTGCTTGCAGCATTGGTCACACGCTTGACATTCTGAGCCAGGCTCGGAAGGTACTGCGCCTAAGGGCATCCAGGACCTGCGCCACCGCTTTCGGCTCCCAAGCCTTGCGCCAGCAACCGACATGATGGCGCATGTGTGGCCTTATTGGTCTCTTGACTCCAAAGCAAGTGTTCTTGACGTTTTCTTCAAGGCTCTTGAGCTGCGAGCATTTCCCCACAGCACCGCCACTGCAGCCAACTTTCAACCAACCCCTCTGAAGGAAAAGGAATACCGAATCTGATCAATCCGGCATACCTGCAATGAGAAACGATTGTGATGTTCCTCGTGTTGCTTTCGTGTTGGGCCGGGTTTGATGTTTGTGGCGTTTTGCCGCTGACCGCCTTCGGAGACATAGGATCCGGGGAAGAGTGTCTGTGTATGTGTGTTTTTGAGCGATTGACAAATCCGCCGACCCCCTTCTCCAAAGGGGAGGCGCATGGGAAGGATTTGTCTTTGTCCTTGTCTTAGTGATGATTATCATCACCACTGATGTTGGGTGATGGTTCACAGCATCCGGATCATCATCAGAACCGTGGCGCTCTTCTTTTCATATACGTTTCAAGTGTGCGTTAGACCCGACTGGAAATGCAGAGGATGTGTTGTCATGAATGTGATAACTTCTGCTGATGCTGGGGATGCATAGTGATGACGTTAACTTCTGGTGATGCTGAGGATGCGTAGTGATGATGACGCTGATGAACATGACGATGCAAATGATGATGATGATGAAGATGATGATGATGGTCATGATGATGAAAATGATGATGGTGGTGTTCATCATCATCATCATCAATCATGTTCAGCATCATCATTTTATTCATCATCATGTTCATCATCATCATCATCATCATTTTCGTCATTATGTTCATCATCATCATGATCATCCTGCTGATGATCATGACGCATCCTCAGCATCAGCAGCAGCAGTTCTCACCGTCATCATGTTCATCATCAGTGGCGCTCTTCTTTTTCATGCACGTTTCAAGTGTGCCGTTTGACCCGACTGGCAATGCAGAGGATGCGTGCTTAGTGATGACATTAACTGATGGTGATGCTAAGGATGCGTAGTGATTAGTATCCGGATGATGATGATGATGATGGTGAACATGATGACGAAAATGATGATGATGGTGGTGATGGACATGATGATGAAAATGGTGATGATGATAATGAACATGATGATGATGAGCATGATGATGAACATGATGATGGTGGTGTTCACCATCATCATCATCATGTTCATCATCATCATTTTCATCATCATTTTCATGTGCGCCGTTAGACCTGACTTGAGACGCAGGGGATGCGTAGTCATGATTGTCATAATAACTGCTATAGTTCATGATTGCATTTTGAGGTGTTCCAGACATGACATCCTGGTTCGACCGACACTTTCAGGCGCGCTTTTTCGAATGGCTCTCGCTGTTCTGTCGCCGCTCAGGGCTGTCCCGCCGCGGCCTTGCATCTTTTGCAAGTCCACGATGGGAGCCTGCTTCGCATGTGCTTCCCGCCCGCGGGGGCGCTCTTGACCACAGGGGCAGGGAGGATATCGGCACTTCGCGCAGATGTATGGCTTCTGCTTCGGCTCCAGCGGCCTTTCCTTGCACATTGTGCACTCAGGGAAATCGCAAGCTGGACATTTCCTCGCCTGGCCAGGCTGTACGCACTTGCTGGCTTCGTAACTCTGCATGCCGTGCACTGGACCCAAGCCTGACCTGGCTTCAGCTCCTCACTCTGACAAAGCCCACACACTGCCAAGTGTAAGAGATTGTCTGCCTCCAGTTGCTTGAGCTTCGCTGTGTCGAAGTGCCGCGGCGCCTTGTGCATTGCGCAAGGCCCATAGCATTTGTGCTCCTTCTGTTGCCATGCTGCCTGCGTCCGTTTGGGCGCACTTCTTGTGCACACACTGCAGACTGCCCGCCGCTTCAGATCCTTTTGCTTCTTTAAGACCCGCGCAAGCGGAAACTTGCTCAAGGGCTTCTCTGTTGCACAGGTGCGGCACTGCAGCGCCTTCTTGGCGCAGGAGCTGCAAAGCTGTCCAGACTTGCTTCCTTGGCAGAAGGCACAGGCAGCGCCTGCATCAGGAGCTGCTGGCTCTGGCTGTGGTGGCTTCCCTTCCGTGGCATACAATGCCTTGCGTGCTTGCGCGCATGCGTGCGTGCTTTCGTGCGTGCGTGAGTGCGTGCGCCTGCGTGCGTGCGTGTGAGAGAGCGCGCGCGCCGCGTGTGTGTGTGCGTGCGTGCGTGCGTGCGGGCATGCGTGGGTGGGTGGGTGGGTGGGAAAGTGTGCGTGTGTGCGGGGTGCTTGCGTGACGCGCGAGTGCGTGCGCGCGCGTGTGTGTGCGTGAGCGGGTGGGTGTGTGTTGTGCGTGAGTCTGGTGTGTGTGTGTGTGTGCCTGTGTGTGGGTGCGTGCGTGGGTGGGTGTGCGTGCGTGAGCGCGCGTGCGTGCCCGCGTGTGTGCTTGTGCGCGCGTGCCTGCGTGCGTGCGGGCGGGCGGGCGGTGAAGGGGATATGGCAAAATGACGGGAAATAGCTAGAAAATAGATGGGAAACGTGGAAGATGGATGGAAAACTGAGGGAAGATGTTTGGAAAATGGATGTGTGTATGTGTGCAAGTAACCTGCTTTGCCGTCCTTGCAAGAGCTGTCAGTTCGCGAGGCTGCCGCGGCCGGTTGTGCGCCAGCAACGTAAATCCCCCGAAGGGGGCGAAGAGGCTGTGTAGATCCCTCCCACCCGCTGGGGAGGGTTTACCCCTCCCCTTACCCCTCCCCACAGGGGTGCCCCCCTGTGCCGCCGACCCGGCAGGTTCAAGAAACACAATTCGTTTTGCGCAAACACTGGAAAACACTGTGCTTTTCTACGTTTTTGACGGCTGGAAAGGCGCAAAATGTGGAAACCTGCTTAACAGTGAGGCTATACTGCTCCCCATCTAAGCTTGGCTTTGGGCATGGTTTTCGCTCAAGACATGAGCAAAACACTGTGTTTTTGACACTTTCGCGTGGGCGCAAGGCCTCGGAAAGCGTGAAAAACATAAGCTTTTGCGGAAAGAGCTCAAGTCTGCGCAGCCTGCGCGTTACTACTGTGCACTACCGACCATCTTAGTAGATGTTTTTGCCACACGCTTATGGGCCTGCTCCCTTCCGCAAACGTGCCTCGCGCAAGTTGCCCCGTGCTTCGAACAGATTGCAGTAAACTGAGGCTGCCAGCGCGGCTGGTGGTGCGTCAGCAACGTAAATCCGGCCTGACCCGTGGTCGTGATACGCCAAAGGCCTAGGCTGGAGGCCTACCTTCAGGTATAAGGGGCGGCGCTACCTTCAGGTATTTACGTTGCTGACGCACCACCGGCCGCGCCGGTCCACACACTCACTCACTCACTCACTCACTCACTCACTCACTCACTCACTCACTCACTCACTCACTCACTCACTCACTCACTCACTCACCCACCCACCCACCCACCCACTCACTCTCTCACTCACTCACACTCACTCACTCACTCACTCACTCACTCACTCACTCACTCACTCACTCACTCACTCACTCACTCCACTCTTATGGGGATCAGTATAGCCTCACTGTTAAGCAGGTTTCCACATTTTGCACCTTTCCAGCCGTCAAAAACGTCGCAAAACTGGCGCAAGTTGGGGCCCATGCTCGGGGGGGGGGGTTACCCCAAGAGCCGAATTGTGTTTCTTGAGCCCACCGGCCCACTATGGGCCTCTTCGCCCCTTCGAAGGGCGCGGCCGGATTTACGTTGCTGACGCACCACCGGCCGCGCCGGCAGCCTCGGTTTACTGCAACTGCAATCTCTTCGAAGCACGGGGCAACTAGTGAAGCCTCACCAATAAGCAGGTGTCCGCAAAAAACTTATGCTTTTCACGCTTTCCGAGGCCTTGCGCCCACGCGAAAGTGTCAAAAACAGTGTTTTGCTCATGTCTTGCGCGAAAACCATGCCCAAAACCAAGCTTAGATGGGGAGCAGTATAGCCTCACTGTTAAGCAGGTTTCCACATTTTGCGCCTTTCCAGCCGTCAAAAACGTAGAAAAGCACAGTGTTTTCCAGTGTTTGCGGACGCTCTGACCCTGAGGCTTGCGACACACCGGCTGAGCGACGCTCTGACCGGCGCGGCGCTTGCACTCCTGGGCGGCAGCGATGTCAAACGCTACAACCTCCGTGCGCGGCGCCGGCCAGGAACCGAGAGCGTCGTTCACGGTGGTGTTGTCGGACTCCACGGCATATGGCTCCCAGGGCAAGCTTTGGATTCTGCAGACCCAGTCTTGCGGGAGCCTCACACCGTGGCTAGCATCGTGCGCGGCTGCAGCAAGGCCAACACCAGTTCGTGCAAAAGTGGGTGCTGGACGGAGGGCTAGAAGTTTGTACTTGAGACGCAGGTGGAGGTGGGATTGCGCCAGCCAGAAAGTCCGTGAGGGCCAGGGCAGGAGTTACCCTGCGCTGGAATTGGTTGCTGTCATCCTAGTCAAAGGAAGTTTAGAAGAAAAAGAGAGAGAGAGAGGTCAAACTACATGCTTCACTTTGCGCTGTATGTTCACTACCGCAGGCCTTGAGCTTACTACTCCGCATGAGTCAAAAGGTTGGCAGCTGCAGACTACATTGGTTGACTGTTTGTTTGAACACTACAGCACTTGCACTTGTAAGCAAAGTAACAACCAATTTTAACGTGGTAGCGGAGCTGAGATCCTAAACATAGGGGAGCTCCAGTAAGCAGTAAGTACTACAACAACAGAGCAACAGCAGCTACATGCCAAACTACTACGACATGTCAGGAGAAGCAGCATCAGCCTCAGCACAACAAACTACAGGAGCAGAGAACGGGCCAACAGCAGACACAGTAGGAGCCACAACTACGGGAGCAGGAACAGAACAAGACAACGACGTTCAGAGACTACATAGATACAAACTGCCACCACCCTTCTTCATTGGTGACTACTCCCAGTATGAAGAATGGCTGTTCAAGCTACAAGCATGCCTCGGCCTCATAGACCGAGACTTCGACCTGGTGCTACAACTAGCACAAGTGGCTACACGACAGATTGAGGACACAGACATCAGAACACACATACTCGACCCTACACAAGCAAGCAAAGCAGTAGTCCTCTCCAGAGATCTACACTACATCCTCATCAACATCTGTCAGGGAGCAGCAGCTACAGTAGTAAGGCAAAACCGCTACAACGCAAACGGATGTGAAACACTACGACTACTGCACAACAGGTTCAGCCTACCAGTAGGAACAAGGAGCGTTGGTTACCTTACCAAACTACCGGAACCTACATTCAACGAAGCGCAGTTTGAAGAACAATTTCTACAATGGGAATACGACATCAACCGCTACGAGAAAGACAATGGAACAGCACTACCAGATGGAATCAAAATAGCAATACTACTCAACAAAACCAAAGGAGCGCTGCAGCAACACCTCCAACTGCGAGCTGGACAGATCACGAACTACATCGAGATCAGAGCACTCATCCTGGACTACTACAAAACGATTTCAGCCTTCACTAGATCTACTTCAGCAGTAGGAACAAACTACTATGGAGGAACTGCACCAATGGATGTTGACAACATATGGAGGAAAGGAAGAAGCTACAAAGGCAAAGGAAAAGGAAAAGGCGGCTACAAAGGAAGCAAGAGCAAAGGCAAGTACAGGAGCAAAGGACACTACAAAGGATTCGACAAAGGCAGCAAAGGAAGCTACAACAAAGGAGGATACAACAAGAGCAAAGGAAAAGGCTACTCAGGATCCAAAGGATATGGATCAAGCAAAGGCTACAAAGGCCAAGGAAACTACAGCAAATCAAAAGGAAAAGGAAACAACAACTACACAACATGCCATCGATGTGGCAAGCCCGGCCAATGGGCACAAGACTGCAGAGTGCCAGTATGGCACATAGGAGAAGGAGAAGAACTACATCCACTAGAACAAGAACAAGCAGATCACGACAACAATGAAGAACTACCTCAGGATGTGAACGACACTTGGGACTGGTACTACGAAGGAGAAGAAGGACAACACGAGGTGGAGGAGAATTGGAACGACTACGACTATGACAACAGCTGGGATTGGAATGACAACAGCTATGAGGACACTGCAAACTACATTGGAGGCATCAACGAGTCACACCTCACAATTGGACACATCAGACAAGCAAACTCACGACTACACAAGCACAAATCCAAATCACTACTTGGCAAGAGAACAACACACACAACATCATGGAACGACCACAGCAAGAGCTTTCAACAATTCCTACAAGAAGACAACACACAGCCACACTTTGACATAGCAGCAGCAAGACAACCACAAAGGAAGAAGAAGATTGAGGACACTATCACACACTACATCATGTATTCCAACTTCAAGTCATACCACCACCTGTTGATCGACTCAGGAGCATCTACACATGTTTGCCCGAAGGACTACGCACCAGACCTACCACTACGACCTTGTGGAGAATCGGTTCCACAACTCTACACGGTTACAAACAAGAAGATTCCTGTCTACGGCATCAAGTACGTTCCCTACAAGCAGGACAACTTCAGGATCATGATACCCTACTACGTTTGTGATGTGAAGTATCCAATCCTCAGCGCATCAAGACTACTTGATAGAGGATATGGACTTGACTTCACTCCACGACACTGCACCATCACACATGGACAACACCAAGCACACCTTATAAGACACTCAGGACTTTTCTACCTACGAGCAGAGAAGATCGACATCCCTACAGGATTCGACATCTACCCAATGACTACAGACAATGGAAAATCCATTGCTGTGATTCAACCTACAGAGAGAGCAG